TCTCTCTCTCTCTCTCTCTCTCTCTCTCTCTCTCTCTCTCTCTCTCTCTCTCTCTCTCTCTCTTAGTGAAGAAGAGGCAAACATCCATTAGATCTTCCTTTCTACTCTCGACAACTCCAACCATGGCAGATCCCTATGCTGATCCCTTCAAAGCTTTCCGCAGAGAGTATCCTTTCTCCTGCAACCCATTTTCTGAGTTCTGCCATGGCGGCACCAACACCTGCCTCCCTCCCCAGACCCTCACTCCTCCTGTGAGGGAGGCCCTCCCTCTCCTCAGTCTCAGCCCAACGAGGCACCAAGAGGTGGAAAACAGCTCCTCTTGCAGTGCCGTTAATGAAGGTGGAAAGGTCAAGGCCGCCGTGGACACTGATGGTGAAGCTGATGCTGTGACTGTGTCTCTGCACATAGGCCTTCCCAGCCCTGGTGCAGTGGATCTGACGCCAAGATTCTCTTCAACTCCAGAGGATACTAGTGGGGGAAAGCAAGAGCAAGGTGGCGACGATGAAGACGATGTGGTTTACCCTATCGATCTTATAGGAAGGATCAACAAGGGACAGTATTGGATTCCCACCCCTACCCAGATCCTAATTGGTCCAACCCAGTTCTCTTGCCCAGTATGCTGCAAGACCTTCAACAGATACAACAACATGCAGGTAAACCTTTGTCCCAATTCTGGCCTAATTGAGACTAAGATTGCAACCTCTCCCTTCCTGTGATTGTACTACGCATGGATCATGCTCCAATCTGCTTGTTGTGCTTTTGGAGATTGGTTGATGCGTTGCACGTTACACTGCAAAGATTTCCAGTCCTTTCAGTGCACATATGGAATATATATCAAGAAATATGTGATCTTCTGCACTCACAGTTCACTGAGATATAATCTCTCTCTCTCTCTCTCTCTCTCTCTCTTCATTTGTCTTGTGTATGATAACTCAATTGAATCTTATGTTGGATTTCGTTTCTCAAGTTCTTCAACTGGCAGGCCAGCTTGCCAACACTACAATACCAAAAGCTGAGTGCATCCTTTTATCACTACAGTGCTCTCAGAGACCCCTCATTCAGGGGGGAGCTATTCTTTCTCCATCTGCTTGTTATCTTTTTGGTAGATCATCATGGAATGTCAACAAGCACTCTCTTGGCTTCTCTTTTACTCTTATGTTTAGAATAATCCTTTGCCTCAAGTAATGATCTATGCTTGGCAATTGTACGTGTTCATCGCCAGATGCATATGTGGGGACATGGATCACAGTATCGGAAGGGACCCGAGTCTCTGAGAGGCATCCAGCCGACGGCGATGCTGAGGCTTCCCTGCTACTGCTGCGCCCCCGGTTGCCCCAACAACATCGACCATCCGAGATCAAAGCCATTGAAGGACTTCAGGACCCTCCAAACTCACTACAAAAGGAGGCACGGAATCAAGCCCTTCGTGTGCCGGAAGTGCAGCAAGGCATTTGCGGTCAGAGGCGACTGGAGGACCCATGAGAAGAACTGCGGCAAGCTGTGGTACTGCATCTGTGGCTCAGACTTCAAGCACAAGAGGTCACTGAAGGATCATATCAAGTCCTTCGGCAGTGGGCACGCCGCGTACGGCATCGACTGCTTCCAGGAGGCAGCGGAGGAGGAGGAGGAGGAGGAGGAGGAGACATCGTCGGAGATCGAACAAGATGGTTTCCAGTCCTACAAGGGAAGGAAACACGGCTTTCTGGGTCGCAGGTGATGAACTATATCATCATGCCATGCTTGTTTCCTTTTTCTTCCTTTGTCTCTCTAGATTTAAGTGTTCCCTCACCATAGATCCCTTCTCCTACTCTCTCCTTTCTACTTTTAAGCCAGTAAATAAAGATCGATACATGGCAATAGGGAGAGATTCTACTATTAACCTCACTCTAAGGAACGTTGCATGGATCCTTCTTTTCACCAGACCGAGTCTTTTCATTCTTCCTTCCTTTTGATCTGTCATGCATGTCAAATGGGGCATAAGACTGTACCTTAACATTTGCAGTTTGGTAGGCTTTTTAGATTCTGCAGACAAGCTACTGCTTTTGGCTCACATGTTGCTTTATGCATTGGATAGTGCTTACATATATGTATACATCAAATGATTAGCATACCTTCCTTCAAATACTATGTGAAAGTACTCATTTGGTGTGTGGATTATGGAACTTAATTCAGGTTTATGTACATGAAATGTGTCATGGCTGTCTTCTTTTGAAACTAGAGAGAGAGAGAGAGAGAGAGAGAGGAGTCATTTCAACCACAATCAGTCAATCTTCAGTATACCTGTAGGACTGTAGAGGATGGTCAGATTGATACTCTACAGATACACAGTCACAGGTTTGGCTCCATAAGTTCTCAGACTTGCATGTTTTCTCTATCTTTTTCTCCATTTCTATCTTTTTTTTTCTTTTTTTAGTGACAATAAAAGCCTTACAATTTTTTTTCATTCTGTACCAAAATATGAAATATCAAAATGTTGCACTGTGATTCAACCTAAATAAAATCCTATATCAAAATCATTATCTCACAACATAACAACTGAGAAAAGATAAGACAAACATAAGAGCGCAAACCCGAGATAACACAAGAATTAGTTCAGCTATTAAGCCTAATCCAAGAGCAAAAAACCACTAGTGAGAGTTTCACTAGGATGAAAGATATAGCATAAAATAATTTCATATTTCCAAACCAAGATTTCTCTCATTCAATAGTCATTTCTCTAAGAATCCAAGCAATATGTCTGCAATACTTTCATATAAAATAAATGGTTTAAGAGAATGCAACTCAATAGTAAGATGGAAATAAGGAAATTAATTGCAAATTGTTCTATGAGAATATGTCTATCAGCAACAAATTTATGCCTTGGAGACTAAACTCATGAAGCTTTTGGATTCATGCAAAGCAAGACTAGGTGGCCATTGTTGTTAAAATGCCTTATTGCTTGAAGGACACACCATATAAAGTAAGCTGAAGGTGAGATAGAGTGGAACATATGTATAATAATCCATGTAATTTTCCACCTATGTTTGTGTCCATTCATGCATGTAAATGGACATGTGTGGTTGTGCAAGAGAAGAAACCTTCTCTTGATTGGATTGACCCTAATTTTCATAACTCCATTATGAATTATTTCAGGAACATTGAGACTATTGGTGAAGCCTAACTTTGTCAACTTGCTAAATGTTAGATATCTCAGGTACATGCATTCTAACATTATTTTGGAACAGTGAAAAGGCCCTTTTCATTGGATCAATAAACTAATAATCAATGATGCACCATTTCTTACATTCATTTTAGATTATACACAATTATACACTGAAACACTTTGATCAGATCAATGTCACATTTTCATAATTAATGGTGGTGGTATGTTAATATTTGAAGGGATATATATTTCCAAAATATACAAGGATATATGTAGAAGCCCTTCTTTAAGTACCCAAAGGAAACATCCTTCCCTGTCATTAGGTGTGTTCCAGTGACAAAGAACTATCATCTCTCTGATGAATGATTGGATTCCAACAATTCCTTGTTCTTGCTGGGTCCAAGAATAGTTTCAGTAATAGAACCATCAGGGTCATCTGATTGATTTCACATGCACTCCACTGTGTGGCCAGGATTTTTGAAGATCCAAGACAGTGTGTTTCAGACTGGACTGTACTCTACCAACCAGAATATGATGGTTGAGATTAAAAGAGCTGAAAGAGAATCCATTCAAAGAGTGAAACCATGCATCCACAGTGCCAACAGTTGTCACCACTCTCAGCCTCACTAAACTAAGGATTCTTTTGGGCAGTGTTCTATGTTCTTTTCCTTTTTGTTCTGTGTTTTCTTTTGTTTGGCAATCTACATGTTTGACAATGCTGCTTTTGCTTTATTCTTGAAGTATGATCCCTTCTTCTCCAAGCTTTGGTATAACATTGGAAGTAGAAACATTGGAGAATTCTCATGGTTTGACTGAAAATTCAGAAATGTTGAACAAAATGCTTGAAAGGGATGATGTGAAAGATGTGTCTCTGGGATCACTGAGAGTTATTTGGTGCATTCAGACTATCTATTCTGCCTCTTTCACTCAGATTGCTTGGATGATGAGGCAGTCTACAGTGGAGGGAAATGAATTCCACATCCACAGTGTTAAGCCAAAACTCACTGCAGTGCAGGTACTGCTCCTTTGTCAGTATCATGCACTTCACAGAGTTTACTCAGAAAGCCTGGTCTACTTCCAAGGAGTACACAGCATATTCCAACTGGAATTTTTGGTGGTGATGATGATATCATCTCAGAGCTTTTTTGCTCAATCCTCATGCCTCATTCTTGAGTGAGCCATCTCATATCATGGGCAAACAGAGTAGCATAGCATGAAAACAAAATGATGGTGGTAAATCAATTATATATTCAACATATGACAAGACATGAAAGGGAAAGCATAGCAAAAGCTCCAGTTTAGGCAGTGTGAATTCAACAAAGCAACTCTCTTTCAAGAAAAGTATACAAAGTTCTTGATAGAAGAAGACTTTTGCTTCTTTTTCCACTTTAGTTGATGGCATCTTTATCCTCCAACAACATCAAATTTCTCCAGTGAAGGAATGGGTGGCATGGTGGAGAAGAGAAGAGTTGTTGTAAAAGCAAGACCTTAAATGCCCAAAAAATCTCACACAGTCATTGGACATTGAAGAATCCAGTCAGGCAGGAAAAAAAAGGCTCTTCTTTTCCCCAGGAAGAAAGAGACCAAAACCACTTTAAAGATGATTGAAACTTCATATGAAAACATGAACTCATACCTGAAGTGATTGGATGGTTCATTATCAATCATCAAATTAGGTTGTGAATGAAGAGTCATGCATCTGCAGGTATATGACAGATCTGCATAAAGTCTTTGCCAAATGGCTCATACTACAAAGTACACCACACAGGGCCACATGTTCTATCAGAGTTCTCCATTTACTTGTATGAACAAGTAAGTCTCTAGGATAAAGAGAAGTCAAACTAAAAGGTATTGAGTTAGTGTTTCAGCAATTTATCTTTACTTTTTGTGAACTTAATGGCCTTAATCCTTGGGGTTTACCACTTATTATTTATGCTGTTAAGCTTGTTCCAAAGATCTTCCACTGACAATTAATTCATCTCCAAATCCAAGAAATTTCAATCACAGCATCTAACAACTCAAAATATATGGAAATCCTCATTGTTCTTAAGGCATCTAAAACAATAAAAATGCAGGCAATGGGAGGATATCTAATAAAGTCCCTAATGAACTCAGCAAATAATTTATAATATCTATATACTATATTAAGATGCATGGATTGCAAGTGGTCTAGAAATTCAAGATTACCTTTGAAAATCCCACCTATAAAATAAAATCCCTGAAAGCTCTAATTTTTTTTATATAATTTTACAACTATTAAAAATATATAATAATAATAATAACACATAATATTTTTTAAATAATTTCTAAATATAAAAATATAAACAAAAAGGGAAATTGTGTATAGAGAATATATATATATATATATATATATATATATATATATATATATATATATATATATATATATATAGCACAATAATAAGCTCAAAGAAAAAGAAAAATGTAACGCATGGCATAGATTGCCAATTATTATACCTTTGTATAAAGTTGAGATAAAAGAATACATATTTGTTGTTTATGTATCACTGTTACATGATACTACAATCTTGGCATCTACAGATGGAGGAGGGAGAAGAGAAGAACGAAGCATATGGTGATGGCGGAGGCCGGAAGTCCGGCAGCAGCCACGGGCATGGGCGCCGGTGCATCCGCGAGAAGCTCACGCAGGTCGCTCTCGCTCTCGTACCCCGCGGCCGCCATGGCCACCACGCACAGGAGCAGCGCTCCGGCCATCACAGCAGCAGAGAACCGCGCCATCAGTTGTCACGACGATCTGGAGAGGGAGGTCTCAAGCTCGGTAGAGAGAGGTAGAGGATTCCATCTTGACGTCAACAGCTGTACGCCTCTTAAAGAAGGGGGGAAGGGGAAGAGTGTGAGGAGACTTTGGAGGAGCAGCTCCGGCACCATGGTCATGCATTCCATGTTCTCATACTTATTGCATGCAGTGATCCTACGTGAATCTTCAGGTCTCTTGTATCCTCTTACGATTCCTAGTTTTCAGATGGATGGATTGGATGTTGCCCCTTCAACCCCACCAGATGGAGCCACTGCCATTGATCATGAACAAAATGTTGCTAATTAAAATGGGTTTTAAAGCTACCAACTCTGATTTAACTGTAAAATAATGAGTTTCTTAATTGAATGTTCATTTTATTTTCATGATGGAAAATAAAAAGTTCAACTCTGTCCTTTTAATTCTTTGTCTTATATTAGACATGCTATTTCCAGGAAGTCAAAGATGAGGAAGAACAGGTAATGAAGTCTTCCACGTACCATGCGCATGCATGCACGTAGAGCTTCTTCTTCCCTTCACAAAACATGGCCACCACCCAAGAAAACCAAAGGCCACAAAGAGAGCACCCCAACCACCAAACCAATCTATAAGACCCCCTCCTCCATCCTCTCCCCTTCCCTCCTCAGTCCTGCAAAAGGAGAGACAACCACCCAATGGAGATGGGGAAGATCGCCTGCGCCGTCCTCGTCGCTGCCGTTTCGGCCACCACTGCACTGGCAGCCGAGGCACCCGCCCCTGGCCCTGCAAGTGCTTCCTTCGCGGTCGCCCCTGCCGTCGGGGCCGTCATCGGGGCCTCCCTTCTCTCCTTCTTTGCCTTCTGCTTGCAGTAGTCTCGCAAAGAGGAACAAAGGAGAAGAAGAAGCCTTCGTGCTGTTTTTGTAATGTAATGTGATCGGTCAACCAATCTCATGGAATAAAACATTGCTTATATTTATAGTATCCCATCGTATCTCTTTGGAATGAATTGATGACACATTTCCATTTGGTGCTTCGACTCAGCTCGCACTCGGCCGATTCGACCCGACACGAGCCCAAAGCCCGCGTCCAAGATAGGCCCATAACGCCACTTAGGTCACGTGAGGGCTATCTCGTAATTAAAGGCATTACTGGTGGCATTTGGTTGACCATTGTCCTATATAAGATCTCCCGGTAGCGACCATTAGGGTTTCTTGTTATTTGGCCGCGCGCTCAAGGTTGAGAGGGGAGAGCTAGCGTAGGGGGTGCCGGCGGCGGCGACGATGGTGG